CATTAGAGGGGAGTGAAGGATATCGTCCCAGTATATAAGAACACGTATGTTCCCATTTAGATCTCAGTGTTGGTATCTGATCAGACATTCTAACATGTAATAAACTGGCATACAAAGCTGATATGAGCCCTTGTAATCTATGCAATGCTAGAATTCCAATCACACGGAAGTTAAATACTTTGGCAATCTTTCCTAGCAAACTAATCTCAAGCATTGCCCTAGCAGAAGGCATCTGAATGGGAATGACTGCCAATAAATATTCATCTGACAGCTCTTCTAATGACTTTGTCAGGTATATGGAGCTTATTATTAGACCAGTATATTTAATAATTCCCAGACTGCCAGTGTTCGGAATCTGAAATAGAATGTAACTCAAGAAAAATTGGATTGGCCGGTAGTCTAGCCTCTGGTGGACTGTATCTACATAATTACTCATCACCTTCCTAGTTAGTACCTGCAGGGCCAGCTCATGAAAGGGGAGTCAGCTGGCCTTTGATGTTTCTCTCTACGAAAGAAAAAAAGATCTGCATTACAAATTGCTTGGCCGATTAATGGCTTAAAGATGAACTCCTGGCAAGCAGCTAAATATATGGATGCAAAATATATTTAGGAGCTGTTTTACCTGCCAAAGAATGTGTTACTGTCCATCCAGTCCACAGTTTTACACAGCTTTTCCACACAGCACAGTCCTGTTGGCAGCACAGGAGACTGGGCTTTTCTCTGCTTTAGTTTAGAAACCCTTACAGGTCTTGTTCCTCCCCCCAGCCTTGTGATTGGACAATGAATGAGAAGCAGCATACTGCCTGCATTGCTCTGTCACTCTACCCCCTCTTTCTTTCACCATGTTCCTTGTTATCACATGGGCAGTGCAGCAAAATCGACTGGCTGCTTCTCCCTCCCTCAGTCTAAGCCCTGTACCCACTGCCCAGGAAAATGCAAAAGAAAAAAAACGCAGGTTAAAGGAGAAGTATAGAGTGTGAAAAAAACAAACGTGCATTGTTCATGCTGCAGCTGTTCCACATCAACTCTAACCAAGAATGAGCTCAACTTACGAAAAAAGTCCTCTTCCCGAAGATCAAGCTCAAAGATTGTGATTTTGACAACATTGCGGAGATCCTGCGCGATTTGACCAGTTTCACTCAGAATTTCACGTTTGTTCTTTGTGCTAACTTGCTGTCCATGATGAAATAGCAGACGTGGTAATACACATGGTAAGAACAGCACCAGTTGCACAGCTCCCGATGTACACAAGACGATGTCTTTTGGTGTGTTACAAGACTAGTCTTGAAACTTTTTGATACCACCTCGGACAAGCAAAGAGGACCTGAGTACCCTCGAAATGTGAGTCAGTAATTTCAGTAGAAGACCTATGTCTTACATAGGTTGTTGGCATTTCCGCATGCTGAGCGCAGAGGCCTTCCTATTGGCTAGTCAGCCCTTAGCAATGTCACATTGGGGAGGTGATGTGACACCCCCATCAGGAAAGCCCTCTGGATTACAGCAATGTAAGCGCAGATGAATGAGTGTACCTTGCTGTGGGTCAGAAGGGGCCAGGGGCACTGTCACTCTGCTCTAAATGAACAAAGAAGTAATGTCTCCTTTACGCCGGCCACACAGAAATGTGCGGCCTCCCGGCATCTGGGCCTAGACGCTGGGCAGCCGCATATTTGCATACAAATGAAGAAAATCTAGATGCCGCGCTCTATCAAGACCTATTACCTGTATATAATATAAAATATAAAATCTGTATTTGCATTAAATCTCTAATAGCTGCATGATCTCTTATGTGTAACCATACATGATTGTAATGCCAATCAATACCCAAACGTGTGTTGATAATATTGAATAAATGAATAAAAAAATATATAACAAAGTTGGTGTTAAAAAAAAAGTCTGTGCAACATTATTCAAATTTGTGTCCTTCGATAAATAAATAATCCAATTAATAATATTAATTTAATTTTAATTAATTAAAGTTAATAAATAAATATCAAAAATAAAAATTGAGAAATATGGAAAATAAATAAGGTAAAAATTCAATGAATTTTGTGCAAAAACGCAAAACAAACTTGGTGCAGAGTTCAGCAGGGATGAAATATCTGTGTGCTCTCCTTCCAATCAGCCTGAGGTGATGCAGGTGAAGGTTGCACATAGAGGGCTACTATGTAAGCCTGAATGGTCATATGGATCTCTCCCTCCTCAGATCTTTCCTTGATCCAGCCCTTTAAGTATTCTTCATACGGATCATGTAAATAGAGAAAAGTTCATAGTGATTGATTAAAAACAATCTGCACTTTGTATAATAGCCGCTTAAAGAAGTGAAGACCAGCCTCTGGGGTGTGCTGGCATACACTACCAGTGCTCGCCGTGTAAGGATGCGTGGTGATGTCACTGCCCCTCCCCAACGCGTATCTCCACAGGGATTCGTGGCTTCGTCCAGGGGATGTTTCATACATGAACGCACATTTGCGTTCATGTAAGAAAAAACGTGCTGAGAGCACGCGCGCTCCCAGCACACATGTCCAGTACTCACGGAAAGATCCCGGTTTGCTCTTTCGATCAAGACCTTTCCCGATCATGTGACCGCCGTGACGACGCGTCATGGCGGTCACATGATCCCTCAACCACGCCCCACCTCCCGGCGTCTGAAACTCTTAAAGGGCCGGGAGGCACCGGTGGGAAGGGGTTAATCATTGTGTCACTAATCTGTATTTCTCCCATTCAATGCAATAGGGACAAATTATTGATTTCCATGGCATGATACAAGATGCAATTAAAGGGGCATCTGCCCTGTAGGACAGCACCATCTTTATTTAGAAGGTGAAACAGGAAGGCGCTTCTAAGTGCAGTATTCCAGGTCAACTTTAATAAAAAGCAGTTACAAACACAATGTAGTACTAACAGTCTTGAAGAAGAATCTCTGCTCATGCTCCGAAACGCGTCACCACCCTATGCTCACCTCACTTCCCGTCCATGGACAGTGTGCATACCAGCATGTGCTCCATTGGTCCAAAAAGAGCGGCGGCCATCTTTAACACCTCTCCTCAAGCTCCCCCTGCAGCTGCTGGCTGGCACAGCGGCTCCATCGCCCTGCTGCTGATGGGTTACATTAGAGCCTGTTTGTACTACTGCATTGTAAGTGTTTTTAACCGCTTTTTATTAAAGTTGACCTGGAATACTGCACTTAGAAGCGCCTTCTTGTTTCACCTTCTTCTGCACAGAGTTTGTCTCCACTCATTAGAAGTGCTGCTCCGTACCGGTTTCCCTACACACCATCCATCATCAGCTGCCATACTTCCACAGCATTGTCCACCGACGCGCCCTACTACCCACCTTACTCCATCTTTATTCAGGCATCACCCAGGATCACTTTCTACTTACTGGACTGACATGCCAGCTCAGAGGTGACCCAAATGTGTAAATCCAGGTGATTGGTCAGTCCTTGGCTTTGTTCACAAATATAGGACACCGATCACCCCTGTTGCATCCTCTCACCATGTGACTTGTTACAAAGTTACAGCTTTTTTGAAAATGACACTGTTCCTATATATTGTGACATGTCATGGATTTATTCATACAGGCATGTAACCAGTGGCGGACTGACAACTCATGGGGCCCCCGGGCAAGAGGGGATCATGGGACCCCTGTGTCCTCACCCACACTCAAACCACACCCAAAAACCTATGAAAATTACTAGGGGCATCTCGTTGGGGCCTCCTACTGACCCTGGGCACTCAGGCAGTACCCGAGTGCCCGAATGGTCAGTCCGCCCCTGCATGTAACATTAGTAAATGTAAACGTATTGGTAGATTGTATAATCACATCAGTTAATTCCTCTTTCCTTTGTTCTCCCCAGGAACGCTTACTCAAACCTGCCAGTGCATTTATTGGGGCCAACAATGAGATGAGGGAGCTGGCAGCAGTGATCAGCAGGGTGAGCTTCTATGTTACATCATAAATGTATTTCCAGGAATCGCCTCTCTCCATTTGCTCTCATCAAAACATTTCATTCAGCACGTGAGCTTTGTAGATATACTCTCTAGAATGCAAAATCAATCAACGCTACTATGGCTGGAATCTGGACTGTTTGTCTTGAATTCATTAAAGAGACCCAACTTAAACAATTGCACGTAAAAGGATGGGAGAATTAGGCAACTTTAAATTAATTTCAATTCACTTCCATAGCAGATTTTTTAATCACTTGCAATGTGACTGGGACTTACTAGAAAATCTGACTATACCAGGAAAAGTCAAGTCCTTAGCACAGCCCCCTCCTGTTCTAAGAGTGTGTAACTACTCTCTGTGCAGGCCCAGCTCCTCAACTTTTCCCCTCATCTTATTACATAACCTTTTATGTAGCTGCCAGGGGAGGAGCGTAGGGGAATACTATAGAGCAGGGGTGTCAAACTGGCGGCCCTCCAACTGTTATTATTATTATACAGGATTTATATAGCACCAACAGTTTGCGCAGCGCTTTACAAAATGAAGGTAGACATTACAGTTACAATACAATTTGGTACAAGAGGGCCCCCCGGCTCGTTAGAGCTTACAATCTAGGAGGAAGGGTTGAGTGATACAAAAGGTATTAGCTGTGGGGGGAAATGATCTGATGGAGGAAATAAATGGTAGTTTACTAGGTAGAAGCAGGATAGACTTCTTTAAAGAGAAAGGTTTTCAGGGATCGTCCAAAGGTGGATAGATTAGGAGACAGCCACACAGATTGGGGTAGGGAGTTCCATAGGATGGAAGAAGCTCGGGAGAAGTCCTGGAGGCGAACATGGGAGGAGGTGACATGGGAACTAGAGAGCAGATGGTCTTGGGAGGATCAAAGAGAGCGGCTTGGTTGATATTTTATGACCAAGTTGGTGATGTAGCTGGGGGCAGAGTTGTGGATGGCTTTGTAAGTTGTTGTTAGTATTTTGAATTGTATTCGTTGGGAGAGTGGAGGGATTGGTAGAGAGGGGTGGAGGACACTGAGTGGAAGCCAGTGGAGGGATTGGCAGAGAGGGATGGAGGACACTGAGTGGAAGCCAGTGGAGGGATTGGCAGAGAGGGGTGGAGGACACTGAGTGGAAGCCAGTGGAGGGATTGGCAGAGAGGGATGGAGGACACTGAGTGGAAGCCACTGGAGGGATTGGCAGAGAGGGATGGAAGACACTGAATGGAAGCCAGTGGAGGGATTGGCAGAGAGGGATGGAAGACACTGAATGGAAGCCAGTGGAGGGATTGGCAGAGAAGGGTGGAGGACACTGAGTGGAAGCCACTGGAGGGATTGGCAGAGAGGGATGGAAGACACTGAATGGAAGCCAGTGGAGGGATTGGCAGAGAGGGGTAGCAGACACTGAAAGGTTGGTAAGGTGGATGAACCTGGCAGCAGTATTCATGATGGAATGGAGGGGGGATAGCCTATTTAAAGGTAAGCCAATGAGGAGGGAGTTGCAGTAATCAAGGCGAGAGATAACCAGGGAGTGAATTAGGAGCTTTGTGGTTTCATTGGTTAAAAAGGGGCGTATTCTGGAGATGTTGCGGAGGTTGAGGCGTTATGTTTTGGACAGGGATTGAATGTGGGCCTGAAAGGATAGTTCAGAATCCAGGGTTACACCTAGCACCTTGGCATGCGGGGATGGGTTGATAGTGGTGCTATTAATCCTGACTGAGAGATCAGGGGAAGAGGCACATGGGGGAGGAAATATTATGTTGCTGTTGCGAAACTACAAGTCCCATCATGCCTCTGCCTTTGGGAGTCATGCTTGTAACTGTCAATCTTGCAATGCCTCATGGGACTTGTAGTTTGGCAACAGCTGGAGGGCCGGCCAGTTTGACACATGTGCTATAGAGAGTCACTTGAGCAATAGATCTGAGTCTTCAGAGACTTGTGACATCACATCCAAGATGACGGCAATGCAGAAGCATGGACTAAAATGGACATGCAGCATTTTTTGTTAACGTGTTATAATGTGTGAGATATGGCAGTGCACTGCATTGCAAATACATGTTTTGGTCCCCAATGTTCTACAAGCATGTGTGGTAAGTAGTGGCCAAGCTTTGGGTAAAGCCTTCGATAGTGACCAGGTCCCAGGCAGCAGTGGTGCCTGTGTATTCATATACTTCATTTGTGGCATATGTGCTCATATTGGACATCTGTGTGAACTACCCTAAGGCCGGCCATACATGGGTCGATTTCGAACGAAATCGTTCAAAAATCGGACCTATGAATAATCGGCCGATTTTTACTCTGTTAGTGGGGCAATGGCACCGGCCGATTTTCATGGTTCCTCCCCATTTCGTTTATCAGGCATGCTGGAAAATTTGTGAATAACAACCGATTTTCAAAATCATTGGTGGCACCATCGGATGAAAGAACGAACGGCGTTTTCGATTGAAAAATCGTTCGGAATTCGACCCATGTATGGCCTGCTTAACATACCTAAACTTGACCCAGAATCCACTGCCGGTTCCAACATACCTGCTAAAGCAAAGCTTGACCTGAATAAAAAAAAACAAACTGAACAGCAAGTCCCTCCCCTGGCACCAGCATTCCTGAATTACCTGAAATATGTAGGCAGTGTGTGTTTTATACTTCAATTGGGCGGCACAGTGGCTTAGTGGTTAGCACGTCTGCTTTGCAGTAAATGGGTCATGGTTTCGATTCCCGACCATGGCCCCTTCTGCATGGAGTTTGCATGTTCTCCCTGTGCTTGTGTGGGTTTTCTCTGGGTACTCCGGTTTCCTCCCACACTCCAAAGACATGCTGGTAGGTTAATTGGATCCTGTCTAAATTGGCCCTAATATGTGAATGTGAGTTAGGGACCTTATATTGTACACCCCTTGAGGGTTAGGGACTGATGTGAATGTAAAGCACTGCGTAAATTGACGGCGCTATATAAGTACCTGAAATAAATAAATTGCTTTTTTTTTTTTTTGCTTTGCCATACTTTCTAAAGTGTCTGCATCCCCTAACAATTATTTTCTCTTATTTGGTCTGTTAAATATTCCACTGAAATATTAACCACTTCCAGTCCGGACACTTTCACCCCCTTCCTGTCCAGGGCAATTTTCAGCTTTCAGCGCTATCACACTTTGAATGACAATTGCGCGGTCATGCAATACTGTACCCATATGAATTTTTTACCATTTTTTTGAGACAGATAAAGCTTTATTTTGGTGGTATTTATTCACCGCTGGGATTTTTATTTTTTTTTACTATGTAAATGAAAATGTCCAAAAATTTTGAAAAAAAGTGTTTTTTTAAATAAAATTTTGCAAATAAATAATATTTCATCATAAATCTTGGCCAAAATTTATTCCGTTATTTTTTTAGTAAAAAAAAAAATCCAAATTAGTTTATAACCAAAAATTATCATTTTTAAACATTTTTTTTTACATTTTTATTTTATTTTTTTTATATTATTATTTTTTTTTTTTTTTTTTTTTTTACATACTGTCACCCTAGCAGTACAGTGTCACTGTACTACTTGTGGGGGGGTGATTAAGATTTATTTATTTTTTTTTTATGTGCTGTTCTCCTCATATTTGTTATTTAACTGTGCATTGTATCACCAATTCTTATTTCACCATGTTTGTTTCTATGTCTTGATCTGTTGCTGCCATCTGCTGGCCAGAATTTGCATGCTGCATGCCTCTGTTATAGCTAGTAAGTGTTTTCTCTGCTGGGCGTGGTTTTAGGCAAGCCTTGGTTCTGGTCACTTCCTGCAGCCATTTTATCTGCTATATAGCTGTGTGACAGGACATTCATTACCCTGGGCTTGTGAAGGCATCAGTTTTTGACCGGCAGTTAGCCTCAGGAAAGATATCACAGGACAGCATCAATACCTCTACTACCTTACAGTATTGTATCACTGTTTGTCGCTGTATTTTGGACCAAATAAACCCACGCTGATTTCATTCCCGTGTATACGTTTGGATCCATCTAACCTGAACATCTGCCGTCCGGTCTGCTCCACTGCTTGGATACGAAGGTAGGAAGTTACACAGCCATTATCAGATATACCTTCATTCGCCTTCATGTGGGGACAGAACAGTCAAAAACTGCCTTAAAGTCCATACCCCGCTACAAATTCCCTCAGAGTCCAGTACCACACTCAGGAATCTCCCTAGCAACAGGCCCACTTGCAGCAAATCTGCCCGGCTACAGTGCATGTTCCACAAGCCTATGCGGAAGCACTGCACATACGCAGTATCTATAGTCTCGCCTGGAAGTCCTCTACAACTCGCCAAGCCATTCCTAAAGTCCTATATTAACTTTTCCTCGCATAATAGAAGTACTGTTTATGCACGCTCTTTACATTGTTGTGGCCCGCAAAACCCTGCAATTCACTCTAAGCATATTAGAAATTTTATCAACGTGCCCTATCGGAGCCGTACTGCGATTTTCAGCGTCCAATTCAAAAGTTCATTTTCTTAAAGAGACAGCGCACCTTAAGTCAAAATGGCCGAAAAGGACTTTGCACAGTTCCCCAGTGATGAGCTAAAGCAAATGCAACCTGATACTGATCATCATGAAGGGCAGGGAACAGAATCCACACTTCCAGCAGAACAAGTCGTGCGACCAAGACGCTCTCTGAAACCGACAGTAAAAGTCATTGAAAATTATCACACCACGAAAGATGAGCTATGTGATAACCTGGAGGAACAATGGGAACGAGTTTCCTCCCTCATGTCCGGACTTAAATCCTCCTCAGGTGATGCCACAAGCTTACAAGTTGCCATCGGGCGGCTGGACACAGCTCAAGAAAGATACAATAGACTGTCCACAAGGTATATAACCTTTCTAAAAGACTCTAATATCGATGAAGCCCTATCAGAACTGAGCAAGGCAGAATCAATAGCCAGACAAAGAGACGTCATGGTGCTGGATGTTAAAGGTAAAGCGGAACTCCGTATCTCGCATTTGCAAGAAACTAAATCACACAGATCAAATTCATCTAAACATTCCTCTCGGTCATACAGATCATCGTGCTCAAGAAGCTCAGCCTTGAGCGACAGATTACTAGAGGCCCGCATAAACGCAGAGCAATCCAAAGCGAGACGCTCCTTCACAGAAAAAGAAGCTCTTGCAAGGGCAGAGGCCAAGAGGGCAGAGGCAGAGGCCAAGAGGGCAGAAGCAGAGGCCAAGAGGGCAGAGGCAGAAGCAGAGGCCAAGAGGGCAGAAGCAGAGGCAGAGGCCAAGAGGGCAGAGGCAGAGGCTCGAATAAAGATTTTCGAATCAGAGATGCAGGAGGAAATTGCATTAGCTAAAGTAAGACTACTTGAGCAAGCATTGAGCCAAGGTCTTGATCCAGTCTGCTCGCTACCACAGGAGATAGATGATCCAGTTGATCGCACCAGTGACTATGTACTGAATCAGTTATCTGCGCCACCCCCAGTTTGCAGTACCGTCCAAGCCGAGAACACTGAAACCTCCAAGTCAGCTCTACCTGCAGTACCAGTGCCACCCACAGCACCCGAGCAACCTAATAACCGTTACCCGGAAGTGCCCTCTCAAGGACGGTTGTTACAGAAAGATCGCTATCAGGCGCATTTTCTGGCCTACCTCCACAGCTCAAGCAGCAGTCATCACAATATACAGAGGCTAAACGAAAGCTTAACCCTGCAGCTACATCATTCTACCCGGAAGCATCTCACCCCTTCACGCCAGGCAGCCAATACGCCCCAGGGGCATCACAAGTCGTCATGGCAACAAGCAGTGAGAAATCAGATATGTCTGAGTTTGCCAGGTTTATGGTGAGCAGAGAGCTAATCAACACCAGTCTCTCAAAATTTGATGACCGTGCAGAGAGCTACAGAGCTTGGAAGGCAACCTTCAAGGCCGCCATCGCTAACCTCAACCTAACCGCAGAGCAGGAGTTTGACCTCTTGATCAAATGGCTGGGCCCAGGCTCCACAAATCGCGTCAAGAGCCTCAGAACTGTCTACATGGGACAAGCAGAAGCAGGTCTCGCTGCCGCCTGGCAGAGACTCGAACGTACCTTCGGCAGTGCAGAAGCAATAGAGAAGGCCCTATTCAAGAGACTGCAGAACGTTCCAAGGATCAATCTCAAGGATGTCCAGAAGCTTCAGGATTTAAGTGATCTGCTCATGGAACTGGAGCTTGCCAAGGGTGACCCTCGTCTGTCTGGGCTGTGCTACCTGGATACAGCTCATGGAGTGAACCCAATTGTCGTGAAGCTACCATACAGTCTACTACAAGAAAAGTGGGCGGCATCAGTCTCAAGGTACAAAAGAGAGCATGACATCACCTTTCCCCCATTTATTCACTTCTGTAGATTTATCGATGAACAGTCCCAGATGAGGAATGACCCCAGCCTCGACTTCCTGGAGTTCAACACTACAGCTTCAACATCATCGTCAAGGTATGAAAGCATCATGCATAAACACAGAGACTTCAAGAGCAGCGTGAGTGTTAGAAAGACTAACCTACCATCTCCTGCAGTACCCACGGGTAAACAGTACGCTACCTCATCAGG